TTCTGTCATAGGAAGATACTAGATGATGTCTAAATTTAAAAAATCAAGATAGAACAGTATATGTATATCATTCAGAAATACAGAAATGAACACCAGGAGAGGCATCTAAAGAGGGTGAAGGTGGTTACTTTGAGGAGGAAAATTTTCCTGGGGAAAGGAGTGGGCAGGGGACTGCTGTTTTTTTAAAACTAAGTGTGTGTATAAATTTTGATAAAAATACAAGTTAAATTTTAAAAGTTAAAAATGCTAGAAAATCATATTGAGTCTTTTTCTTCACATACCTCCTCTCTTGGTCTCCCCTCTCTCACCTCTGAGTCCTTTCTTTTGGGGATTTATCTGGCATAATTTTGTTTTTTTCTTAATAGAATAATTTCCTAGTCACTATTTGCCTAAGTACAGATGTCACAAAACTCCTTTCCCAAGTTTTATGGCAAATTGTCTGCTTCTTTAGAGGAGGACATAGAATGGGCATCATCATTAATAATGAAAATAATCATCACATTTAAAGCATTCTTGTATTTTACTTGTGCAGTTGTTGTCCTTCCATTGTTAGAATTGCAATATCTTGAGAGCAAGAATTATTTTATTCAACTTGCATAGCCACAGTAATAATAAAATTTCTCATACATTGTAGGCACTCAGTAAGGAGTTTGTTTAATTGAAGACACTGAGAAATAGGAATTTTAACAAGGGCATCTCATAGAGCTGCTTTTTTAATCAGACACCCATAATCTTAATTGAGAAAAAAGAAAAAATGAAAAGAATAATGGAAAAGTGACTAATTTTAAAAAATGACATAAAGAGCAGCAAGTTAAAGTCTTCTTTCACTTCACCATTCCTCCTTTTAAAACACTTTCTGTTTCTATTTCACTCAACAATCAATGTGCCTTTATTCTGTATGGAAAAATGACATAAAGAGCAGCAAGTTAAAGTCTTCTTTCACTTCACCATTCCTCCTTTTAAACCACTTTCTGTTTCTATTTCACTCAACAATCAATGTGCCTTTATTCTGTATGGTAAAAACTTGGCTGTACAGTTTACCTTCCTGGAATTTTAAACATTCAGAATCATTGTAGACATTGATGTAAGGTTAATACATAATAGATAAACTCTATTTGGTAACCAAAATATTTTGAACTCTTAGAAACAAAAACATAATTTAGTAGAGCCAAGGATCAAAATATTTTCACTACCTAAATTTATAGCACATATTTACTTGTAAATTAACTCATTGTCAGTCTCCCCATCAGAATTTAAGCTTACTGAAAATTTTGTTCACCATTCCAAGTAAAATGTCCTTCGACTAGATTAAAAAATCAACAGAACCTGCAAGGAAGATTTCTCAGTAAGAGAAAGGTTTATCTATATGAAACTAACCACATTGTCCAACAAAGTATAATAATTCCAATCTATACTTTGATCATACCAGGTTTTTATAACTATAAACCTAGGTAGATATCTCAAGAGGAGCACTGATGTAATTATAGCTTGTCACAGGAAGGGAATATGACTAGAACAGAAGTAGGCCCATGAATCATGGCAGGTAAGAAACAGCTGAAGAAACAGGAGAGATTTTGTTCATGTGTCTCCTTAGGGCTGAAGAGGCCTTTATGATCACTCGCTATTTTTTTTTTAATTGCTAATAATTGGAGTTATCCAAAAAGTGCCAAACTCACTGTCATTAGAAGCATCTATTCAGAAGTTGACTAATGTTCTGCCAGCCAATTTTAAGTATAGACATTCCTTCTATAGCCAAGATTGCTGATTGTCTTCAAGTATCAATTTCCTTCCTATTCCTTATAATAACAGTGGCCTCACATTTTAAACAGACACATGGTTATTCTATTGATCAGCCTCTCTTGCAGCTAGGTGTGGACATGCAGAGCAGTTCTGACCAATAGGATGTGAGCAGAACTGATATGGGCACCATTTACGCACCATCTTAAAGATACAGCTGTTTACCTCTGGTTGGAAATGGACAGCTGGAAGAAAATATGGGAGTTACCTATTGAGGGGAAGAGGAATGCCTTTAGAGAGTTGGTAACTGGAACAAATGGAGCTCCAACTTATGTCTTCTGACACTCAGTCTGGAACATTTTCCATTAAATATTTCACTATATGTTGTTGAATCTTTTTTTTTTAGTGAATAGAAACATTTTCACAATTTTTAATGCTCCCTGCTCTTAACTCATTAACTCCACCTATAGATTCATAATTATAGAACTGTTTACAATGAGATGTGTATTACTATTTCTTGAACATGAACTTTTCTTCAAAGTCAAATAATAAAGCATGAAGAAAATACAAGCCTGAGCAAAAAAGTGCTTTATTTTCATATTTTCTATATGAAAATAGGTTTGAATTAAGCCACCTCTTAAAACAGTGATGCTTAATGTTGAACAAGTATTTGTGGTTCACTGAGTGAGTAATAGAAAACCATAGTCATTATTTTGAATAGAAAAAACTAGGTAGAGAGCACCAACGAACACTGAAATTTATGACTCTACAGCGTTTCATGTTAGGAAAGGAGAATGAAACAAAAAGCATTAAGACAGATGGAAGTCAGCTCTGTATGTGACATGTGTAGCACCAGGATGTGCCTGCAGTGACTGAAGAAGATGGGTAAGTAAGGGAAT